TGGTGCGGTGTCTCCGGAGTAGCCTCCCCGCTGTGCCAGCCCTCCCCGGGCTTGGAAGCGGCTCCGGTAACCCCCGCGGTCGGTGGTGCTGATGCCCGGCATGTTGGTCCTCTTGGGCAGCACCTGGAAAGCAGGGGGTGGCTCAGCTCAGCCCCACGCACATGGGGCTGGGAGGGGTGGACGCAGCACCCCAGGGCCTCATCCAGCTCTTACCTTAATGACACGGCCTCTGAACACGCTCTCATCCAGCTCCACCGCAGCCTTCACTGAGCTCTTCTCCTCGAACTCGATGTAGGCGTACCTGCAAAGGGACGGGGTGAGCAGAGCCCCAGGGACACCCCCTGCTCCCAAAGGCTGGGGACCACAGGGCAGCGCCCTCAAGTCCCCGCCCCAGCCCCTACAGACAGCACTGACCCTTTGGGATGCCCCGAGAACTTGTCGCAGAGGATGGTCACTCGGTTGATCTGCCCGCAGCTGTTGAAGTGGGATTCCAGCTCTTCCGCCGTGCCCCCGTAGTCCACCTGCAACGACAGCCCCGGCCCCTCCAGCATCACCAGCCAAGCCCCCCCAGCTTGTGGGTCTGCATTCACACCCCGTCACAGGAGGCAGAGGGCCCGGCTGACCCCACTCACACCTTGCCACCACAACTTCATCATCTCCCGAGGTTCAGGAGACCCTTCCAGCTGAATGCTCCAGCCTGCAAAGCCAAATCCAAGAGACAGCTCCCCTTCTTTGAGAGAGCAAGCAACACTGCACGGCCCGCAGCTTCCAGCGGGGTATTTTGGGGAGCGACGCTTGCAACAGATTATCTGCAAGGGGCTGAGATGCAGAGCCACATTCCCAGTGTGGGCTGGACAGAGGAGAAGCACTTGGGATGGGACCAGCCACCCTTCGGTGCGGGGCGGATGGGCTCCCGTGCTAGGGATCTCGGGCGTACGGCTGGCTGGGCAAGGAGCAGCGAGGTGGGCTCTGCTCCAGGGTCTCCCACTTACATTGCCCACATAGATGGATCGCTGGTCAACCTCCATCTTCTCCTCGGTTGTCTTTGGGAAGAAACCTGCAGAGACAAGGGGTGGTGCTGGACGGAGTCACCAGAACCCTCTCCCAGAGGGATGTCTGTCCATGCAGGTCTGCTCCCAGCACGGCCACCACCGAGCTGACACACTGCAAGGCTCCTTGGACTCCAGGCATACCCAAATCCCCACGCTGCTGCCTCCTCCATCCCCTTGCCCCTTTTCTCTTCACAGAAAAAACCACCCCACAGGGTGACTGCTCTACTGGGGCTGTTGATGCTAAACTCAATTACTTAATTGAATTGATTTACTGCATCTTGGCCCACAAAGGGAGGAGATAAGAGTGGATATAACCTGCCTTAGCATCATGCCATGCCAGGGACCCCACCCCTCACCCACCTTACATGTCCAGAAGAGGCAGAGCCACGTGCTCTGGCTCTGATTGCCACCCTGCACCCCAGAGGTGTCCCTGGGGGGTCAGCAGCACCCAGGGACAGCCCGTACCTGCCTCCAAGCTCACGACGAGGTGGCTCTCAGCTTCCAGCTGCAACTCCTTCAGCCTCTCATCCTCTTTCTCCATCTCCCGCACTCTGGCTTTGATGGCCTCCAGCTCCTGAAACCCAAACCAAGCCTCACGTGAGCAGCACACGGAGCAAGGACACCCCAGCCCCGCTCCCCACCCTGGCTGGGTGCTGTGCAGCAGGCGCTGCCACCAGCAGTGCCCTCCCAGGCTGGGGACATGGGTGGGCCGGGTGCTGGGGACAACAGCCTGTCCCGCAAGCGAGGAGTTCAGCTCCCAGCTCCGCTGCGGTGAAAACAACAGGTAAATATTTCCTTTCCCATGCTCGCTTGCAGAGCAGCGTGTGCTGCAGCAGAGGTGCCCCAGCAGCACCAGAGCTGCCGGAGGGAATCAGAGATTTAAGCTGGTGATGAACAGGAGCCATTTACTCTCGCCCAGCGAGGCCGACATCTCGGCAGTGAAAGCTAAGCAGCAGGAGAGTGGCAATTCAATTTCCAGCTTCTCAGCTCAGGGATTTTAACATCAGGGGCCCAAGATTATCCTTACTCTTAGTTTTTCAAAGTGCTTGAAGAGAGGTGTAGAAAGTTTCCCATTTCCTTAGAGAAACAGGGAAAATTGATTCCAGGCACTCACTGGGTCCATCACAGCCAGCTCCTCCGTGTTGTCCCTCTCCGGGTGGCTCAGGTCCGAGTTGCCACCGGCAGCCTTCTGCTGAGCTGCCATCTCTGTCACGTCCCAGGGTGCCTCCACTGCTGCCAGGGATGGTGGGTCCTGCCACCAGATCCCTGAAGTGTCCAGAAAGAGAGGACTGGGCAGGAACAGGGGCAAAAAGCCATTTAACAAGCAAGCAGTGATTTAACATAGAACCTAAAGCAGAACGCCAGCCAGGAAAAGGCTTTAAGGGTGCTTCCAGCAGAAGGATGAACGAGTGCTGCCAAAGGAGGTTGCTCTCAGGGCTGCGGGCAGGCTTGCAGCAAGACCCCAGAACCGCAGGGGCGAGGGCTACTGAAAGGTCTCCAGTTCATACTGAGCCACCTCCCAACTCAGGTGGGCTGCAGGGGGGACCTGGAAGCAGCTTTCCTTGGGTGAGAAAAAAACCCACCAAACCAAAACCAGGCACAAGCATCACAGCCTGCTGGCAGGGAAGGGGAAGAGGAGGCAGGACCTGCCCCACCAGCAGAGCTCCCAGCCCGCAGAGAGGGAGCAGCACGGAGCCCAGCAAAGGCAAACCTGCACCCGGGCTCTCGGTTTGAGCCCACAGAGGGACAAACTCCCCCACCCGTGAGTGGGGAAAGCTGACCCCACTCCAGCCCCGGGAGTCTCAGTGCCTGTCACCGAGCTGGGCC